TTTTTCTGTCTCATGAACATGCAAGATTTCAGGTACGTCTTGCTACTTCTACTTACACTTAGGTCACACTGCACGTACATGTACAAGCATATATATACATACCCCTCTGGGTTTTCTTCTAGTTTCTTTCTAGTTCTTGTTCTTGTCTATTTCCTCTTATCTCCATGGGAAAGTAGAACAGAATTCTTCCTCCGTAAGCCATGCGTGTCGTAAGAGGCGACTAAAATGCCGGGAGCAAGGGGCTAGTAACCCCTTCTCCTGTATATATTACTAAATTTAAAAGGCAAAACTTTTGCTTTTCCTTTTGGGCCACCCCACCTCAGTGGGATATGGCTGGTACGTTGAAAGAAGAAGACGACATAAAATACTCAATAACTTTAAAACACTTGAAATTTTGGAAAGTTTCCAGACATAATAGATGTGCTCACTGAGAATGTAAACAAACCGGGTGGGGTGCACTGTATTTGAAAGACCACTTGCCATATAACAAATTTTGGTCATAATTTGAAATCGCCGTATTAGCGGAATGCCATAAGGTGAAACGCCGTAAAGCGGGGCCCTACTGTACTCCCACCTGTGAAGCAGTGTTAAACTTGCTATGAATTAGGATAGATGAAAAATAAACAAATACTCCTGGCATGAGGTCTAGATAAGAAACATGCTGTAAATTTTGTGTTGTAAGTTCCAAAAATAAGTTTCTGTATTGCAGTTATGCTAGATCTAAGGTATTATACTGACAGGTTGATGACTAAGACACATGGGTATGTATCTTGATGTTTCACTTGCACAGTAGGCCTTACTAATGTAATACAAGGGCATGAAGACTCAGACTTGTTCTAGAGCCATTGGAAGATATGAGATGCAGCAGATAGACTACATGGTCACATGTGAGCTGGGCCCATTAGTGAAGCAGGTCATGATCAGAGCTTTAGCAGTGGACTTGTAGATAATGGAGAGAGATGAGGCAGTTTCACTGTCAGTCCCGTAATATTACAGCTTGCAAGCCAGTGTTGGTCCCATAATACAACGCCAAAATTCTAGCGGCTTCCAGTCTTGTGGGAGATAGCTGGTAGACCTACATATAAGAGAATAGGTCTGAGTGGTCATTGTGTGCAGTATAAAAAGAAATCCTGCAGCACGTAGTGCATAATGAGAAAAAAAAGACCGCTAGTGTTTTTGGTTTTAAAACAGCGACTGTGGTGTATTTTCATATGGTATTTATGGTTGTATTTTCGTTTTCTTGGTCTCATTTGATAGAATGAAAGTTATATTACAGAAATAGATGATTTTGAATGGTTTACAGACTAAAAGTACCTTGAAATTGAGCTCAGAGTAGCAGAAATGTTCAATTTTTGCCAATGTTTAAGAGTAAAGAAATCACATCACACGGCCAATACTTGTCAACTGGTGCGTTTAATATACATGTACTTTCACAAATGTACTGATATTATTTATACCATTTTTACAATAATGCAGTAGTCTGCATGACTAAATATTCTATTTTTTGTGAGAATAAAAATTAAAAATGGAAAGCAAGTGTAATATAATACATTAGTAATGAACAGAGAAAATATTTTAGTGCTAGGAATATTTGCATTGTTAATTCTGGACCCTATTTTGAAGATGGCTTTCCTTGAATTTTGTATTTTGCTGGCCAAATTACCAATTTCTGATCACTTTATTGGGTAGTTGAAATAGGTAAATGGGCAGTTTCTTGTACTCAGTCGATAGAAGAAAAGGAGTTCTAGTGAAATAGCTGAGTTTGGTCAACTGGAACAATGGAATTGGCTGAAAATAGGGCTTAAAGTGGGCGAAATCGCCGATGTGTAAATATCGCTGAGACCGCTACTTCGCGAGAGCGTAATTCCGTAAGTTTTCTATCAAATTTCACACTTTTGGTTTCATTGCTATCTAGAAAAGATTATAATTTCATTTTTATATATACAGTGGACCCCCGCATAGCGATTTTAATCCGTGCAAGAGGGCTGATTGTTATGCAAAATGTTCGGTATGCGAATGAATTTTCCCCATAAGAAATAATGGAAATCAAATTAATCCGTGCAAGACACCCAAAAGTATGAAAAAAAAAATTTTACCACATGAAATATACATTTTCCTACACACAAAGAGAAGGATACATGCACAATAGTAGAGTAGTACATGCACAATATATATTGTGCATGTACTACTCTACTAAATGAAGAATAAATGACACCTTTATTGAAGATGCAGCAATGAATGATGAGACACTGTGTCCTGCGAGTGCCTTTTCCTCCTGAGTACTGTAGGTCCTGTTTGGCATTTTCTTCCAGAACAGGCCTTATCACACTGTGTATGGCACTACGATTCTTAAATCTCTCAAACCAACCTTTGCTGGCTTTAAATTCACCAATATGAGCACTAGTTTTCCCGGCATTTTTTCCCTGTTCACCTGGGTGTTAGTCGACTGGTGTGGGTTGCATCCTGGGAGACAAGATTAAGGACCCCAATGGAAATAAGTTAGACAGTCTTCGATGACACTGACTTTTTTGGGTTATCCTGGGTGGCAAATCCTCTGGGGTTAATTGTTTCTTGGTATTCTCAATAAGCCACACCAACAACGGTGCCACAGCAGCAGCAGCAGCTGACGGTGGTACAACAGCAGCAGACAATGCTACAGCAGCAACAGACGATGCTACAGCAGCAACAGACGATGCTACAGCAGCAGCAGACGATGCTACAGCAGCAGCAGACGATGCTACAGCAGCAGCAGACGATGCTACAGCAGCAGCAGACGATGCTACAGCAGCAGCAGACGATGCTACAGCAGCAGCAGACGATGCTACAGCAGCAGCAGATGGTACTACAGCAGCAGCAGCAGCAGCTGACGGTGGTACAACAGCAGCAGCAGCTGACAGTGCAGCAGCAGCTGACGGTGGTACAGCAGCAGCAGCAGCTGTACCACCAATAGTAGCGATGGTTGATTGGGGTTTATTATACAACCTGGCCAGCTCGGAGACACGCACTCCACTTTCATACTTATCAATGATCTTTTTCTTCATCTCTATAGTAATTCTCACCCTTATTGCTGTAGGGTTGGCACTAGAAGCTTTCTTGGGGCCCATGGTCACTTATTTTCCAGAAAAAATCACCAAAAACACTGTAATAATACGAAATGTTCCGATTGTATGCTTGGATGTTACCGCGGAGGCTGGCTGGTAAACAATGCCACCGGCGGAACATGTGAGCGTGGCTCAGGCCGCACATTGGACGCGTCTCGGACGAAGAGCGGTGAGCGGGTTTTTGGGCGGTATGCAAGGCAAAATTTTTGCGAAAAAAGCGAGCGGTATGCGGATTGTACAGTATGCGATGCGTGCGGTATGCGGGGGTCCACTGTATATATATATATAATTCTTTGACACTGAGAGCAAGTTTGTGAGCAGGGGTCATGACAGTGACAGGGTTAAAACATAATTAGGCATGTGTGTGGGCAACGAATGGAAGTAGGTCATGTCCATTAAGTGAATGTTGAAGTTCTTAACCTTAGCATTGTTTATTTCTGCTGCTGTAACTCCCTTCCCTGTTGACCATGGCTGGAAGTACTGTACAGTAGGGTATTTTTTTCAGGTCTTTGTACCTGTCTGAAATACTGTTTTGTAATTTTGTACTGCATTCTCATGTTTCTTTAGTTCTGTACAGTACAGCAGAAATTTTGTGCCATAATTCCTTACCTTTTCCATACATTTAAAGAAATGTTTAGGTTTTTTTTTTAGCACACCAATTGTCTCCTGAGGTAGGGTGACCTGAAAAAAAAAAATGCTTTCACTATCACATTATTACTGTCTTGGAAAAGGCATGTTGAAAGTAAAGCTCAGATGCCCCTCCAAACTGTAGTATCCCCATCCTTCCTTCAGAGAAGAGAGACTGCATGTCCAATTCCAAAGATTCAAGTCAGCTAATCAATTTTTTTAATCCCTTCATAAATGTTTCCTTGCTCACACTCCACTAACACACAAACTCATAGAAACCACTTGCCTTCACTCACTCGTATCTAAGGTGCTTGTTTCATGTCCAAGCCCATCTCTCACAAAACCACCTTTATCCACTTCCTCCACCCTTTCCTAGGCTGACCTCTACCCCTTTGTCTCCACTACAGATTTATACACCCTCCAAGTTGTCTTATTTTGCTCCATCCTCTGAATGTCCAAACCATGTCAACAACCCCTTCTTAGCCCTCTGAATAATACTTTTAGTAACCCCCCCCCTCCCTTGTTAATCTCAAAACTAATTATCTGCATAATATTCACACCATACATTACCCTCAGACATAACATCTCCATTGCCCTAAATATTGCTGCTATATTTAGGGCCCATGCTTCACACCCATTTATGAATGTTGGGGTACCATTATACTCTCATACATTTTCCTTTTTACCTCCATGGGTAATGTTCTTTGTCTCCACAGATGCTTTAATCCACCATCCATCATCCACTTCATAATCCCTTCTTCCAATCTGATATCAAACCTTTCATTACCTAATTTTTCTATTATTGTCATTACCTTGCTCTTTCTTGTGTCATTGGCAAAAAGCAATTGTGATAACTCCCATTTTGTATTACTCTCTCTTTTAATTCCACATCTCTCCCCCAACACCCTATCATTTGCTTTTTGTAACTCCATTTATGAACATGTTAAACAACCACAGTGACAACATGCATCCCTGTTTAAGGCCTACTTTTACTGGAATATAATCTCCCCATCTCCATACCCTAACCTAAGCCTCACTATCCACATAAAAACTCTTAAATGCTTTAAGAAGTAACTTAACACCTATTCCATACACTTAAAACAACTGCCACATTGCTTCCCTATCAACCATATCATATGCATTTTCTAATTGTTTGAATTGAGAAATGCAACAAAAATTTCATTACTTTTATCTAAATGTTGTTCACTTATGTGCTTCAATGTAAACATTTGGTCTGGATGCAAAATTAATGCAAAAATTTGTGCATTTCAGGAAAGCATAGATGGCTGCCCCACTGCTGTTTCAGCCTTGTTATTTAAGCCATCATATTTTGTAGAACCAAGAAATAAGTGTGAAATTAAGCTGGGTGTTTGCAGCCAGTTCAAAGGATTACTAGAAGCTATCTTTGAGGTTCGAGTGTCGGACCTTGCCAAGGGTTTAGGAACATCTGCAGCTGCTTCACAAGTCTCAATTCAAACACTTATTGTCTCTGCTAATATTAATGAGCCAGATGTAAGTGTGCCTATTTGTTGATTTCATGGCTGGAAAGCCAATAAAATTTTCTTTGAGGGGAATTACATTAGATACCAACACTAGTGTTGGGTATCACTTAATATAATAGCTACCATAATTTGTCTGCTGCTTATTCTTAGCTAAATAATAGCTCAGCTTCAGTAGGAGTTACTTTGTTAAAATGTAAAAATGCAATTTTATGGACATAATGTCTTAGCCAGTGACTTTAAAGACCCTATAGATCCTGCATGCTCCATTTTTTTTATACACTTAATATTCTAATTACATTAATGTTCTGAGTTATCCAGTGTTTCTTCTTATTTTTGTTTGATGTGTACTTGGGAAAATTAAGACAGTTGGAGGTCTTTGGGAAAGCATGGTCTTTGTATGTTGCAATGAGGAAGAAGTTAGATGCATTGAAAATGTTTTGTCCAGAATTATTGGACAGTTGTATGAAACATATAATTAAAAGAGAGGAGCTGAAATATTTTTGTTGTGTGAGATTAATAGACGAAGATCGATTCATAAAGTGTAAAGATCTGGGTTGGATAAAAAATGGTGCAGGAAAAAATCTAAAGAGTTGGGAGTAGAGTATTAAGAGGAAGGGCTTGATCATCCAGGTGTTTGAGGGTCACATTATAGTGGCACTGAGTGGTCAATGGCATTTGGTGCATCAGCGTGTGTGAACAAAGTAATAGCTTGGAAGGTAATTGACAGGCAGCTAAAGAGCAGTGATGGAAGCTTTTTATTTTGGGGCCTCGGCTGGAACTTTCAAGGAATTAGAAAAATGTAATTTTAAAATGCATAATTCTTTTGGCTTTGCTGCAATGTCTATTGCTTTTGAATGGGGAACTAGTACTACATCTGGTTTTTTTTTTTATGCCTAGTTGTGTTGAGCACTTAATATATGATAGTATAAACATGTTATCAGGCATTTTAGATGCAGTTGATAATGAAAATACTACTACTCTTTTCCACCTGCTGGCAATTTTCACTTAACGTATGGAGTTGGAAACCTAGGAGCTGTACAAACAAGACCCTCTTGTTTGCTATGCGTACAGGTCTAGAAAGACAGCTGAAGAATAAGTGATGAGTGTTTCTTTGGGTTAATCTGCCTTCGTTGAAAATAGCTGATGCATTAAAAATAATAATTTCAAAGTTATATTCAACAGTTCCTATGATTATCAGTTGAAATTTAGGAAGTGTAGTACTGTTAAAAGATGAAGTAGAGTTGATGCATACAGCACAAAAAACCTTTACAACAGTTTTTATTTCATAATCCATATCCCAGGGCAGACTAGTCAAGGAAATGAATTATTTGTTAAAGTGCCCTTTATTTAATGTTAGTTATTTCCTCTTTCTAGGGGTTGGGGTGCCTTGATGCTGATGAATGGATCTTGATATAAAAAAAATGGAGCTACCATCCCTTTCATTGTAACAAACCTGATTACCTTTCATCCCATCTGGAGCTGTATTACCCATACACATTTAGTTCTACCCAATGAAAATATAATAAGATTGGTATCCCTGACTCAGGTGCAGCTGACATGTGATGGAGAAGATGTACTAGACTTTGGTGTGGTACCAGAAGGATGCACACTCACTCAAAAAGTAGTTATCATCAATCATTCTCCACAGACTCTTCCAGTGGTATTACTTCTACAACAGGTATTTATAAATTTAAAGAAAATTTTTACTCTATACTGCAGCAATTAAAATCATCCTTAACTGTTCTATACAGTATGTATAGAACAGCAATTTCCTGAGCTGTGATCTCTTGCTGTTGCAGATGAAGCTCTTGCAGCTCGTCAGTGGTTAGCTCTTCCCTGTGGTCCTCCACCAACTCTTCCACATCCTCGCCACTCACCTCCAACCCAATGGACTTCCCCAGTGCCACAATAGATTCCACAACCGGCATAGGCTCCTTAGGGTCAGCCCCAAACCCTTCAAAATCCCTCTATTGTACACATTCTGGCCACAATTTTCTCCAAGCAGAATTCAAAGTTCTGCAAGTCACTCCTTCCCAAGCCTTACCTATAATGTTTATGCAAGTGAGGATATTGAAATGATCTTTCCAGAACTCTCTTGGGGTCAGTTCAGTGTCTGAGGTCACTTCAAAGCACTTTTGTAACACTGCTTTGGTGTACAGTTTTTTGAAGTTTGAAATGACCTGCTGGTCCATGGGCTGGATGAGAGGAGCTGTATTAGGGGGCAAGAACTTCACCGTGATGAAACTAAACTCCTCCACTATTTGCTCTTCCAAGTCTGGAGGATGAGCAGGAGCATTGTCCATTACCAGGAGGCACTTTAGTGGCAATTTATTTTCCAGGAGGTATTTCTTCACACTGGGGCCAAACACTTCATTAAACCAGTCTAGGAAAATTCCCCTTGTGACCCATGCCTTATTGTTAGCCTTCCACATCACACACAAATTAATCTTGGCGACACTGTTTTTCTTGAACACACTGGGATTTTCAGAGTGATACACCAGTAAAGACTTCACTTTGCAGTCCCCACTAGCATTACTACAAAACATGAGAGTAAGCCTATCCTTCATAGGCTTGTGTCCTGGGAGTTCCGTTTCCTCCTGCGTGATGTAGGTCCTCTTTGGCATTTTCTTCCAAAAGTGGCCTGTTTCGTCACAACTAAACACTTGTTGGGGTTTGAATTCTCCAGTATCTCCGCACTCCTTAAACTCCTGTGCAAACTTTTCAGCTGCTTTATTGTCAGAACTGGCAGCCTCACCATGCCTTATCACACTGTGAATGCCACTATGCTTCTTAAATCTCTCAAACCAACCTTTGTTGGCCTTAAAATCACAAGCATCACTCGTTGCAGGCATTTTCTTTGAGATCGTCATGCAACTGCCTTGCCTTTTCACATATCAACTGCATAATACTATCTCCTGCTAACTGTTTTTGGGTAATCCACACCAACAATAACCTTTCCACTTCTTCGAGGATTTGCGATCTCTTTTTCGTCAGCATATCTACCCCGTTTACAACAACAGCACACTTTATTTCCTTTCCCTTCGCCCCCATCGAAGTGATGGTTGAATGGGGTTTGCCATACATCCTGGCAAGTTCTGAAATCGCACTCCGCTCTCATATTTTTAAATGATTTCCTTCTTGAATTCAATTGTGTTCCTCACTTTCTTTGGTAAAGAAAGCGAGGACCACAATTGAATTCAAAGCTTTCCTTGGGCCCATGGTGACTTATTTATCAGTTGCAAGCACAAAAAACAATGGACTATTATGAAATATATTGTATGAACCTTGGGGTGATGGTCACGTGCTGGTAAACAATGGCACACTGAGTGGGAATGGTGCGGGAGACTGGCTTTGTGTGCGCGGTGACGGGCGGACGGGTACCAGACAATTGCCGAATCACGAGTCCAATCACGAACCGCGAGGCTAAATTTTGCCGAAAAAAAACTTGCCGAAAGTCAGATTTCACGAAAGTCGATGCCGACAAAACTCGGGGGTCCACTGTATTCATTTCAAAACAGGGTCCAGAATAAGCAATGCAAGCATTCCTAGCTCTTAACATTTCCTCCATGGCTTTACACATGAATTCCATTTTGATTTCTTATTTACACAAAACCAGATGATTTATTGTTATTCATTATTGTAATAATTGTACAAATAATGTTAGTGCCATCATCAATGCATATTAGAATCGCCAGTATTGAACCCTTGAAGTTATTTGTTTACTCTTGAACATCGACAAAAATCAAACATTCCCTTTACTTTGAGCTCAGTTTCAAGCTAATTTCATTCCTAAAACCAATCAAAATCTTCTCTATTTCTGTAATATATCTTCCTTTCTATTAAATGAGACCAAGAAACCATAAATAAAAATATGAAAATACACCCTAAAGTTGCTGTTTTAAACCAAAAACACAGTTGCCGTTTTTTCGTCATTATGCACTGCGTGCTGCAGGATTTTTTTTATATATATGGTGCACACTTAATACATAGAACCATTCTCTCACATCTAGGCCCAAGTTTACCACTCACAGCTTATGTGAGTAAGCTGAGCTCACGCTGTAGAACAACAGCACAGACCCTGGCTTCAAACCTGTAGAGCAACGGCACAGACCATCAGGTGGTTAACATAATGAAATACACAAATTTCTTTCATCTTCAGAATATATTCATGAGAGTTGTTTCTACAATCAGTCTCTACACACCTTTGTTTAGTAGAGTGATGCTCATGCTGCCAAATAAGCATTCCATAGTGTTTTTTATGTGTGTGTTTTTTGTTACTGCAAGAAAAGTTACTTAATTATAATTAAAAATTTCAGGTAGCCGTAACTTCTCCAATATTCTGCTGGAATTCTGAAAAAAATGAATTTGCAAAAACTATCTCTCCTACACGTTTGGCACTTGAGCTTCCAGCAGCTAATAATGAATCTGGTCCAGTGCCACAGACAATGAATGTTACACTTAAAGCTCCGCATCTTGATAATGTAAAAGGTAATTTTTTTTCCTTCTTAGTATAGTAATAGATTGTTTGATGTGCTGGGTTAGTATGTATAATACAGTGTTCCATGTATGATTCTTGGTGGGGAAAGGCCAGTGGTAGGCACAGTTCTGCTAATTAGCAAAATAACTTTTTGTTAGCGGATTAGCGTTTCTGCTAACATCGGAAACTGTTAGCAGACCAATTAACTCTCGCTAAATAAAGTTCTACTAACTTTGAGCCTGCTAAAAAAAATTTATATGTTGTTGGTGTCAGAAAGCAATGCCTTTTCAACGGTGCACACGTTTGCTCCTGCCTGTTGTGGATATTTCTCCAACAGTCAGTCAGGCATGCTATTGGCTGACTGTGTAAAAGTGATTTGTCAGTGCCGAAGCAGCAGCAGAATCTGAGCAGCACTGTTATAGTCTTAGTGTCGTCAATCGCCGGGGTGCATTCACTTAATTATGAACAGGGGAGACATTTCTGTTCTGCCTGAGGGTGTTGAGGAGTCTGCAGCAGCTGTGGTTGAAGCATTAAGTGCTGCAGTTGAGCGCCTGTTCTCTATAGGCAAAGATATCTTGAGGGGCAAGGAACCACCCTGTCAGATGGAAACTTTGAGAGGCTGATGCTCATGAAGGTCAACCAGCATCACATCAAAGCGATGGAGAAGGCCCAGTCAGAGTAGTAATCAGCCCAGCCATCATCCAATCTTGGCATGATACCCATGCTATGCATTTTGTATGGTAAATAAAGTGTATGTTGGATTTAAGTTGATGTTTGATTTCATTTGTTCATTTAACTGTGTGTGCACCTGTATGGCTGTATTGCTGGTGCAGCAATAAGTTGGCCTCAAGGTTTCAACTTTAAGCATGATTTTCAACTACTTGTTTGTAGTTTATTGGGTTCAAAATCTAAATGAAGTTAAATGCAAACATGAACATTAACCCTTTGAGGGTCGCCAGGCCCTCTCAGAGACTTGTTCTCAGGGTCGGCCAGATTTCAGAAAAAAAAAAAAAAATTCTCATGAAAAAATAGAGAATCTTTTCTCGATCATAATGACACCAAAAGTATGAAGTTAGCGGTCTCGACGATGTTTACACATCGGCTATTTTGCCCACTTTGAGCCCTATTTTCGGCCAATTCCAGTGTACTAGTCGACAAAAATCATAACTATTTCGCTAGAACTCCGTTTTTTTTTTCTATCAAATGAGTACAAGAAACCACCCATTTACCGATATCAGCTATCCAATAAAGTGGTCAGAATTTAGCAATTTTGCCAATTTCACACAAGTTTCAAAAGATGCCAATTTCCAAATAGGGTCCAGAATAAACAAGAATGACATTCCTGGCACTAAAATAACATTTCCTCTGTTCATTAGTCACATCCCCATGCCCCTCTTACATGTATTTTGCTTTCCACTTTGAATTTTTATTCTCACAAAAAAATAGATTTACTGTTATGCAGACTACTGTATTAGTGTAGAAATGGTATAAATAATACCAGCGCACTTGTGAAAGAATATTAGATTCACCAGTTACGTGTATCGGACGCGTGGCAATGATTTATTTACTTTTGAACTTTGGCAAAAATCGAACATTTCTGCTAGTTTGAGCTCAATTTCAAGGTACTTTTCGTTGTGAAACCAATCAAAATCATCTCAATTTCTGTAATATGTCTTCCATTCTATAAAATAAGACCAGGAAAACTAGAATACACCCATAAATACCATATGAAAATACAGTGCAAAGCCGCTGTTTTAAACTAAAAATACGGTCAATTTTTTTTTCTCATTACGCACCGTGTGCTGCAGGATTTTTTTTATACTGTGCACACTGACCATATAGACCATTCTTTCATATGTAGGCCTACCAGCTTTCTCTTGCTAGATTTGAGGGCACTAGAATTTATGCATACTAGTACATTAAAAACCCTGGCGCGTAAGCCGTACTAGTACGGCCGAAACCCTGAAAGGGTTAACAACAAAATGAACGAGTACAATGAGCAACTGGAACTAATGAAGAAAACAGTCTAATAAGCTAACTCAATCTGTTCGAGGCGTTATGGGGTCTCAGTACAGCAACAAGTGTCCTCGGTTGCTCGCGCTACACAAAAAATTAAACAATTGCTATTTTTGCACTAATGGCACGTAATCATCATATGACCTTGGCATTCTATATCTTATTAGGAAGCTGTCCAGGTATGTTCTAAAAGTCTTAAAAGTAGAAGGCCAAAAAACTAAACCGAATCTGAATTTGTGTGAAAAAGTTAGTGTTTAGTGTTAGCTCCTGCTAATTTTTTTGGCCGTTAAGCGATAGCGGAGCTAATTTTTTAATTAGTGGATTGGCGGTTAGTGAAGCTAACTTTTTGGTTAGCTGTGCCCACCACTGGGTAAGGCAGTGTTAGCTTCTGAGTTTAAACTAGTTCCTGGTGCATAAAATTGTTTCACAGATATGCAAGTAATTGAAAGTTTTTCCTTTTCATTTTCTTTCTCTTCCCTGATATCTTCCCCTCTCTTTTCCACCTATTCCTGTTGGTACAAAATTCAGTGTTTCACACTTAAGAAGTTGATATATATTTTTTGAAATATTTTATATGAAATATTTATTTATATTCTGTTTATTCTGTTTTTTTTTTTTTTTTTTTGTCTAATTTTCTACTTTACTATGTCCATGAGTTGGTGAGAATGGTGTGGTAGGAGTCAGAAGCCACATGCAGGTGGAGCTCGATACTCCTAACAACTCTACAATAATCATTGCAAGTTTTCCTGTTAAGGTAAGTTTGACACTGTAGCTTATACTAAAGTATTTTGTGTGCTTCTGAAGTTGGACTGGAGTACCTTACCTTAACTCTGATTTACCTTTGATAAGCTCCCAAAGATTTTCTACTTCCAGAGCCTGGCCTTGGGCCAGGCTTGTCTGGTGAGTCAGGCTGATGCTGCTTGTGGCCTGCTGACCCACATATCCATGCTAGCCATTTTCTTTATCAGTGTATTTTTCTTGCATTTTATTTTGACACGTGAATTAAATATTTTACTCTACAGGCACACATTGGAGCAGTCCGCCTTGAGTCTGTACGCACTGTCAAATCTTTGGTGTTGGAAACGATGGCCAATGACACGTGTACTGCTCCTGTTCCTCTGAAGAATTCATCTTCATTTGCACTACGGGTATCCCTCGAGTCAAGGGACCACAAGAATTTGTTTACTGTTCATCCTAATAGCATCGTGATTCAGCCTCATTCACAAGCTTCTCCAAATCTTGTTTTTACACCTCAAGGAGAAGAGGGAAAAATGGAAAGGTGGTGAACTGTTTTAATCATTGTTTTTTGTATGACATTCTTTGATGATAATTACTTATACCTCCTATTGAATGCACAAAAGTAGTATCCTAGATATTCTTGTCTAGGAATAGTTATGGGAGCTTTTGTTGGTCACCCTAAGAACCCTACTGGTTTGTTTTCTATTAGACATGAAAAATAAAGTATATGATTGTTAAAGTGAATATTTAGGAAAGTTTTTATATTTCATATGCATTTCTCAATTTGATTGTAAGTTTGCAACTTTTTTTTTTGTTTAATTTTCAGTGTTTTGTTAATGCGCATTGAGCCAGAGGGAATGGAGTTTGAGGTACCAATAGTGGGGATATCCCATGCACTTCCATCAGCAACAGTCCTCCCTCAGAAACACGTTATGCCAGGAGTTCATGAAACTCTAACAAAAACAAATTCTGCACCATTGTCTCATGTGGTTAGTGTTTTTACTAAATGTAAAAAAGAAGTTAAACTTTATAGTTTTTTCTTTATTATTTATGTCACATGCCTCAGTGAGAGATGGCTGGTATGTAAAAAAAAAAAAAAAGGCAAATCTTCTTACCAATACATTCCTGCAGCTTAGTTTCATGGAGTAATTTTTTTTTTTTTTTTTTTTTTTTTTTTTTTTTTTTAACAAACAGCATTTCTGAGTGAGGTATTGACCCAAGAAAGAAGAAACTTTCATCATCACTGTCTTGCCAGAGCGGCACCGATACTATACTGTAAAATTATATTGCTCCCCTCCTTCAGAGTGCAGGCACTGTACTCCCCTCCTTCAGAGTGCAGGCACTGTACTCCCCTCCTTCAGAGTGCAGGCACTGTACTCCCCTCCTTCAGAGTGCAGGCACTGTACTCCCCTCCTTCAGAGTGCAGGCACTGTACTCCCCTCCTTCAGAGTGCAGGCACTGTACTCCCCTCCTTCAGAGTGCAGGCACTGTACTCCCCTCCTTCAGAGTGCAGGCACTGTACTCCCCTCCTTCAGAGTGCAGGCACTGTACTCCCCTCCTTCAGAGTGCAGGCACTGTACTCCCCTCCTTCAGAGTGCAGGCACTGTACTCCCCTCCTTCAGAGTGCAGGCACTGTACTCCCCTCCTTCAGAGTGCAGGCACTGTACTCCCCTCCTTCAGAGTGCAGGCACTGTACTCCCCTCCTTCAGAGTGCAGGCACTGTACTCCCCTCCTTCAGAGTGCAGGCACTGTACTCCCCTCCTTCAGAGTGCAGGCACTGTACTCCCCTCCTTCAGAGTGCAGGCACTGTACTCCCCTCCTTCAGAGTGCAGGCACTGTACTCCCCTCCTTCAGAGTGCAGGCACTGTACTCCCCTCCTTCAGAGTGCAGGCACTGTACTCCCCTCCTTCAGAGTGCAGGCACTGTACTCCCCTCCTTCAGAGTGCAGGCACTGTACTCCCCTCCTTCAGAGTGCAGGCACTGTACTCCCCTCCTTCAGAGTGCAGGCACTGTACTCCCCTCCTTCAGAGTGCAGGCACTGTACTCCCCTCCTTCAGAGTGCAGGCACTGTACTCCCCTCCTTCAGAGTGCAGGCACTGTACTCCCCTCCTTCAGAGTGCAGGCACTGTACTCCCCTCCTTCAGAGGCAGGCACTGTACTCCCCTCCTTCAGAGTGCAGGCACTGTACTCCCCTCCTTCAGAGTGCAGGCACTGTACTCCCCTCCTTCAGAGCGCAGGCACTGTACTCCCCTCCTTCAGAGCGCAGGCACTGTACTCCCCTCCTTCAGAGCGCAGGCACTGTACTCCCCTCCTTCAGAGCGCAGGCACTGTACTCCTTCAGAGCGCAGGCACTGTACTCCTTCAGAGCGCAGGCACTGTACTCCCTCTTCAGAGCGCAGGCACTGTACTCCTTTCAGAGCGCAGGCACTGTACTCCTTCAGAGGGCAGGCACTGTACTCCTTCAGAGGGCAGGCACTGTACTCCTTCAGAGCGCAGGCACTGTACTCCTTCAGAGCGCAGGCACTGTACTCCTTCAGAGCGCAGGCACTGTACTCCTTCAGAGCGCAGGCACTCTACTCCTTCAGAGGCGCAGGCACTGTACTCCTTCAGGGCGCAGGCACTGTACTCCTTCAGGGCGCAGGCACTTACTCCTTCAGGGCGCAGGCACTTACTCCTTCAGGGCGCAGGCACTCTACTCCTTCAGGCGCAGGCACTCTACTCCTTCAGGGCGCAGGCACTCTACTCCTTCAGGGCGCAGGCACTCTACTCCTTCAGGGCGCAGGCACTCTACTCCTTCAGGGCGCAGGCACTCTACTCCTTCAGGGCGCAGGCACTCTACTCCTTCAGGGCGCAGGCACTCTACTCCTTCAGGGCGCAGGCACTCTACTCCTTCAGGGCGCAGGCACTACTCCTTCAGGGCGCAGGCACTGTACCCCTTCAGGGCGCAGGCACTGTACCCTTCAGGGCGCAGGCACTGTACCCCTTCAGGGCGCAGGCACTGTACCCCTTCAGGGCGCAGGCACTGTACCCCTTCAGGGCGCAGGCACTGTACCCCTTCAGGGCGCAGGCACTGTACCCCTTCAGGGCGCAGGCACTGTACCCCTTCAGGGCGCAGGCACTGTACCCCTTCAGGGTGCAGGCACTGTACCCCTTCAGGGTGCAGGCACTGTACCCCTTCAGGGTGCAGGCACTGTACCCCTCCAGGGTGCAGGCACTGTACCCCTTCAGGGTGCAGGCACTGACCCTTCAGGGTGCAGGCACTGTACCCTCAGGGTGCAGGCACTGTACCCCTCAGGGTGCAGGCACTGCACCCTCCAGGGTGCAGGCACTGACCCTCCAGGGTGCAGGCACTGCACCCTCCAGGGTGCAGGCACTGCACCCTCCAGGGTGCAGGCACTGCACCCTCCAGGGTGCAGGCACTGCACTCCTCCAGGGTGCAGGCACTGCACTCCTCCAGGGTGCAGGCACTGCACTCCTCCAGGGTGCAGGCACTGCACTCCTCCAGGGTGCAGGCACTGCACTCTCCCCCTCCAGGACTCAGGCCCTCCAGCTAACCGGTTTCTCTGAATCTCTTCATTTATTATATTCACGAGGAAGTGCTAAACTAATTGCGATCATACAGTGCTTGGGGTATGGGAGATAATCAGGTTTCATTCAAGGAAAAGGGTTGTTAGATCCAGTTCCTTGGATCAAGAGCCCTTCACCAGCATGAAGGCAATGCCTTGAAGGGATTTGTCTCGAATTATGTAACTAGCTTAATTTTGAACAACTAGGCTTACCTGGGGATATGTAGCTTCTTCAGTGAGGGTTGTCATGCTTCATAGCCAGAATCTGTCAACAAAGTCAAATTGCAATAAAAATATATATTTTTGAAACATTTATCTTATGAATCCTCTTCAAGGGGGGCTCCTTGGCATGGTGAAGAGGCTCTTGGTGTGAGGAATTAGACCTGTTGGTCTCCTTCGTCAGACCGAACCTAATTACCCCCTATCCCCTCCCCCCTTTTTCCTTTCCTCCTCCTCCCCCCTGTCCCTCCCTTATTCCCTTCCTCTTTTTGGGCTTTGGGATTCTTCCCACAGACCTACTGGTTCCTAGGTAGGAGGAAGGGTACCGGAGTCAATCCCATTCCGTTGAGGTTCTTGGCGGTGGTGTAGTTTGCCGTGGAATCTGGATCACCTGGGGATATTCCGTTACCTCTCTGGACTTCCAGGGGGTGGCTTTGGGTGTCTTTCGGGCGACGGGTGTATCTCTGGAGGCTGCCTTTCGGATTCCGGGGGTGTGGCCAAAGGAGGTATGCTTTGTGGCGGCTATCCAGCCGCCCTCTCTTGTCCACCGAGGTAGCTCGGCAGATGTGAGGTTGCTATCCTGGATTGCTGGTTTACTGGCATGAGGGGTAGGGTATGGCACAGGTTCCATGCTGCATCTGCACTACTTGCGGTGTTGAGGTCCTCTTGGGCGTGGAGGGTGATTTCCGGCCCTTTCATTCCTCCTAGGAACTATTTCCCCCCGTCCCCCCCCCCCTTTTTTTTTTTTTTTCTTAAAAACAAAAGGAAAGAAGTAACCTAACCATGGAAGCCCTAGTCCATGAACCTGCTACCCCCGGGCCCCTTACTGATACCGCACCCCGTTCTGACCCTGCCTCGTTTTTTGACCACTCTTTGGACACTCCTGATGCCCCTGTACCTTTTGTTGATGCTGTTTCATCACCGGGGTCTCGACTGACTCCTCTGATTTGTCTGACCTCCGCCCTCCTTTGACTATGCTTCCGGCCTCTCCCTCTACGGTGCGGCATTTTTCGAATCGCCAGCCCGTCCCACATCGGACCAACTCTGGTCCCACTTCTAAACGCCAACGACAGTCTCCTGATGATGTTACTTTGTTACCTTCATATTCTACTCGGAAAAGACCGACACGTCATGCACTCCCTCTCCACGCTCGGTTTCGGACCACACAATGGACTAAATTCTTTACTTTACGACCGACTTCTTCTATTGCCTATCTTTCCGACCATGGTATTGGCAAAGCGCTCCTACGCCATGTTGGTAGAGATATTTCATTTCATGCTCTCAAGAGTGGTACGTGCATTGTCACTGTCCAGAATGCTAATCAAGCTCATGATCTTTCTCTCCTTTCACATATCGATATTATTCCTATCACTATTGAAAAACATCGTTCTCTCAATTCTTGTAGTGGTACTGTCATTATGCCCCATACCATAGTCCAACAGAATTTCCAGACATGTGGCAATGACATTCTTGAACAGCTGGAACTCCAGGATCTCCCAATCCTCAAAGCAGACACTTATGTCCTTCCTGCCGCGGGCGGAGACGATACCCTTGCAATGTGGCTTGATTAACTTTCGACAGCCGTGAACTCCCGTCCTCTGTTTGTCGCAGGACATGGGTTGCAAGTTCGAAAGGTGATCCCTACACTGCAACAGTGTAGAAATTACTGGCGATTTGGTCACCCAGCGAAATATTGCAGATCTATAGCCGAATGCCCAGTCTGTGGTGCCGACGACCATTCTAATACGTCTTGCAGTCGACCTCTCTCTTGCCTTGTCATGAGGCTCACCCTATATACTCTCTCAGTTGCCAGTTCTACTTAAATGAGCATGAAATCCATTGCCTCAAAGAAGCAAAGGTCTCCCTTATGCTATGGCAGTTTCTCATCTCTGTCTCCAAGGGAGAATACCCCGTGTTTCTTATTCTTGTGTTTCAAAACGCCCCCCCCCCCCCCACTTCTGGGGTCCCATCTTCTGCAGCCTCCTCTGTTATTACTCCTCCCATAGTCACTCCTGTATCTAATTCTTTTGCTGTCCTGGGCTCAGACGTCCCTACTTCAACACTTCAGTCTGTTCTGACATCTTCGAGTTCTCACTCACAAGCCCTTGTATTGACAAGATCTCGTAGGACACCTTCTACCAGTCGCCCCTCTACTTCAAAGAAGTCCAAAAAATCCCCTTTGCTCAAATCTTCCTTGCCCCCTC